CTGGACAAGACCAAGACTGTCACAGCCTGGCACTGCTGGAGCAGGACTGTCTGACCTGGGCACTGACACACATCTGGACAAGACCAGGGTTGTTCTTCTCCACATGAAAGCAGATCTCAGAGACTACCACAATCTCATGGAGTTCAGCTCTACTTACATACACCTGGGTCTAGCAGTCAGCTCCTGGCTACAGTGCATTGCAAGAAAATGCATGACCACCTTAAAGAAGGCAAAATATGAACTGCTCTCTTTCTTTTCTATTTATATCCAATGCTACGCTGAGAGCTAATCTCACATTAAATTCTTAAATTCTGGGCTCATCTGAATCAGACTGACAGTCACTCCACCACCAAGAATCAGCCCCTTGGACAGCTGGTAGTGCACCTGAATACACAGTCCACTACATCACTGAGCCCACAATACCATTAAGATACACCTACTGTAAAACTGACACCAAAATACCACTGTTACAGTTTTAGGTAACTGAGAAGTGTCTCTTAGATTTTAGATAAAGTTTGTGAAACTTGGAAGAGTAAACACTTCTAACTTCAAAGCAGTGAGGATGTTTGCTAAGGTCTGGGGGGTACCTTGAGCAAAAATTATTGTAAAATTTACCTTAGTATACCTAGGTAAGCTGTGGATTAATGATTGTCAAGGAGCAGTACAGACACAAAATATGAGATCACATTAAGAAGAAGAAAAGGAAGAATAAACAATAAGCAGGAAGGAGAAGAGAGAGAGAAGTCCAGAGGAGATGGGACTTGAGGCTTGTGTCAGACAAGAGCCCCTATTTCGTGATCATCCAAATTAAATCTGACTGGAGCTAAGTATCTGAACCTTGCTAGAGAGAGCATGCTATTCTGTGTTTTTAGGGAACTTGGGTTTCCTGGGTAAAAGACACCTTGGTTAGAAGTGTCTTTCCTGCTTAGTGTGCATTTTATGGATAGGGATATAAGCTCCTATTAATTTTGTGACATCCAGGGTGTAGATGGTGAGATCTAACTGCAGGTTGCATTGTATTTAGTTAGAAGGCAGCTCATCTCTTGTGTGGCCTCTGTAGGCATTAAGAGTTTTAAACAATATAGGCACAGTGAAGTAGATACAGACTCAGTGACCACAGCCTGGCTGTTTAAACTGACTGACACTAATAAAAGTCCTGGACAGAGGTTCAAAGAGACAGAGACACTTCATATTCTCCTTCTGCAGAAACACACAAATCAGGTGCAATTTGAAATATAATTATCATTTAATAAATAAATATAAATATAATATTTACTTGAGTTATTTTAGGTATAATTGCTACATTAAAATTATGTAATATTTTATTTAATTATAAAATGTATTTATAATATTTGTTTTTAATAAAAACATGTAAAAGAGGGAGCAGTAACTGTAAAACCAGGAATAGTGTAAAGTAAGTTACAGTTGGTTTTCAATATACTGGTTAGATACTGTATAACAGTTATATACTGTTTTTTTATCATTTTCAAAAGTCAGAAGAGTTTTGAGAGAGTTTGTGACTCCTACCAAAACACCTCACTCCAGCGTCATAGTCATGAGGTATGGCCCAGTCTTTCACTTCAGTGTTTCCACAGTCCCTCAGTGCAGACTCTGACCCTCTGCAGGAAATGTATCCCAGCAGAACTGATCCAGACCCTGGTCCAAAGTGAGCTCTTCCTGGAGCTGATAGAGCAGATCCACAGCCCAGCTGTCTGCAGACAACTGCAGCATCATCCAGATCCCAGTTAGCCTGAAAAACTGTCCCCCACTCTCCTTTATACCTAATCTCCACTGTACCCTCACAGGGACTGGCACCATTCACCAGTCTCACATCATCATGGCCTGGGGAGAGAGAAAAGTACTTATTATATTACTACAGAATATTTTGTATATTTATAGATATTCATAATGATATTTATAGATATTCATAATGTACACACATAGTTACATTTTCTTGAACCTATTTGACTGGATTGCTTTTAGAAACAGTGGAGACACAAACTCCACTAGCTGTCATCTTCAGATCCTGATTGTCTGTAACATACTGGAGAGTCAAGTGGCACAGTGACTGTGTGTCAAATACTGGAGAGTCTAGCAGCACAGTGACTGTGTGTCAAATACTGGAGAGTCTAGCAGAACATTGATTGTGTGTGAGATACTGAGAGTCTCCCAGCGCATTGATTGTGTGTGAGATACTGAGAGTCTTCCAGCGCAGTGACTGTGTGTGAGATACTGGAGAGTCTCCCAGCGCAGTGACTGCGTGTGAGATACTGGAGAGTCTCCCAGCGCAGTGACTGTGTGTGAGATACTGAGAGTCTAACAGCACAGAGACTGTGTGTGAGATACTGAGAGTCTTCCAGCACAGTGACTGTGTGTGAGATACTGGAGAGTCTCCCAGTACAGTGACTGTGTGAGAGATACTGGAGAGTCTCCCAGTACAGTGACTGTGTGAGAGATACTGCAGAGTCCACCAGCACAGTGTGTGTGTGTGTGTG